CTATGTATCCAACCACGAAAACAGGAGGATATCTCGGATGTAGTGCATGGTGCACGCCCGCACCCAGTAGGAAGGCTTCTAGCAATGCATGCGGGAGGCCTGGGTTCAATTCCTGGTATCCGAACTATCGAATTTTGTATTCACTGTTTTTTTTAAAAAAAATCAGAGATAGGAGAACCAGTGATCAGTTCAAAGTATTTGTTCATTGCTGACTCTCCAGATTCTTGCAATTCTTATTTGCTCAGTGATCATCCGATATGTCGGAATTGTATCCTCGCTCCCAGTTGGAGCTGTATATTTGTCCAAGTTCAAGTCGATCTAAGAGTCAGTGCCATTCGCCGGCTCAAATGTATCCAACCTCAAAAGAGAGAAGATAACTCGGATATGGTCGGGGTGTACGCCGGGTCGTAATTATGGATTTATGGAGGGTAAAGCGGGAGAACTGGGTTCAACTCCCAACGTCCGAACTAGGGCTTGTAGCACTCCTTTTTTTCTGAAAACAAAGGCAAGCAATCAGTTCGATCTGTCGTGTCCTGTCCCTGCTCAGATTGTCCCAAGGAGTCTGGACTCTGCCACTGGTCATCGGCGCGCTAATCTCGCTGCTCTGCTCTGCTCTACGGCCTATTCCTATATTCTGTCGGCGCTAATATTAATATATTACAGTAATCCCACCCCCACGTTCCGCATCGATCAGCATAGCTATTAGCGGTGCCGTGCGTTTCCGGTTTCCGTGTCAATGGTGGGCTTCCTTCCATCTGCGACTCAGGATCCTCACCGTACCGCACCGCTGATTCACAATCTCCGTCTCCTTCCATCTGTCTGGTCACGGCGCAGGCGCGCGCTACTCTACATCTAATATCCAGTGACGTTCTTCTTGGTTCATCTCGTCAATATTAATCCCGGCTCCGCGTTCACGTCCACGTTCAAGGATTATTGGATACCGGTGACACTACAACCAAGTTACAGTATCACTGAGACTTGAACTGTTCTACTTATTAACTGGATTTTATCAGTGCGGTCCTGGATTTATTTCGGTGCTGTGGAGTTGTTTTTCCCGGTGACTGGATCCGTTCACTAAATGAACGGATCTTCGGTCTTCCGGTCTTCCATCTTCCATCTTCCATCTTCCGACTTTCGATTGATTCGTTCATTTAGAGTGTGACGACAGATGTGAGCATAGCACCACATCGATCTGCGTCGGAAGATGGTCTATCTGTATTTGCAAAGCGGTGACTCGGAAGATGGTCGATCTGCATGGCGGTGAACTCAGGATCCTTACTACACCGCGTGGTTGATTTGCAATCTTCGTCTATCTGGTCGCGGCGCAGGTGCGCGCTAATCTACCTACCCAGTGACCCAGTGACGTTCTCAGTGGCTCATCTCGGTAGCGGTAATCCCGGCCCCACGCGTACGTGCACGTTCAAGGATTACCGTTGACACTACCACCGAGTTATCAGTGACACCGAGTTGCAGTTATCAGTTATCAGTGACACCTGAAGTTATCACGGGATTTTATCAGTGCGGTTTGACGTTATTATCGGGATTTTCTCAGTATCAGCGTCACGGTGAGCCTGTCGGTGAGATTCCTATCCGCATATTTACCGTATACTGTGTACCACACTGATCGTGTGCCTACGGTGATTCGTTCGTGTTCGTGTGCGTCCTGTCGATCTTCGGATCGCCTGCGAATAGTGAGACATGTCTCCCCCTTGACTCTGAGACTCCCGCACCCACCCTGCGGAAGAAATTAATCTCGTACTTGCCCCGCTGAAAAACAAGAACAAGGACAAGGACGCAGTGCACGGTGCACACCCACTTTCTTTGGAGAGTAATGATCGAGGTTCAAGTGGGGGATGGGTTCGACTCCCGGCGTCCAATATTCCGTGGATGCGATTTTTTTTTAAAACCTTTTTTTGTTCTCCTCCTCTTGATCCATTCTCTGTCTACATTGTCCACATTTGACCAATTTGTCCAGACACGCTCTGCTTCGGGCGATCAACTCGTCTAACTTTCAAACAAACACAGTTGTAAGCAGAAGTACGGGTCGGTACTCTGGTACCTACTTTGATTCTGGTACCTACCCTGATGAAGAATTGGAAAAAGAACTCGGGTGTGGTGCATGGTACACCCTTGTTTGTCATTTTGACTTATGACTAAACTGAAGCGGGAGCCCCGGGTTCGATTCCCGGGTCCGAATAGCCAGATCTGCGGGCTTCTTTTTTTCTTTTTCTTCTTTTTTTTCTTCTTCTTTTTGTCCAGCTCTTCCCGCGCTTTTATCCTTTGTTTACAGAGCATCCATCCACTCATTTTATATGAAGTCCGGTTTCCGTGTGACACTTGATTCAACTAACTCAACGCAGAGGATTCCAAGTTTTCGAGGACAGGTATGTCTGCATAATCTGGTACTTACTTCGCTGAGGAATATTGATAGAAACTCGGACGTGGTGCATGGTGCACACTCACAAAAAATTGAGAGTAAAAGGACGTATAAGTGGGGAACGGGTTCGACTCCCGGCGTCCGAATGATCCTTGGCATCGTCGTTTTCTGTTTCTTTGCCGCCTGTTCTTCACTCACTTTTTTTCTACCAAGTTGACTTTTTCACACCGAACTTCACAGTGGTGACTCGTGAGAAGTTTGATTCGACTTCTTCAAGGAGATCGGAGGCACGGCTTCCCGCTGAAACTCTCATACTTACCCAGCTGATGAATAGGGATAGAACCTCGGATGTGGTGCATGGTGCCTTCCTGTCTTCCTTTCATTGAATGTTTTCTCCAGTCTCATGAAGCGGGAGCACTGGGTTCGATTCCCGGCGTCCGAATAGCTTGGGGTCTCGATCTTTTTCCTTTTTCCTTTTTCCTCTTCCCTCTGCGAGCCTTTATTCATGGTCTGCAGGGCATCTAACCACTCATTTTTTCTGACGTCTAATTTGGGGGACAAGGTCTCCGGGAATATCAATGGGTCTGGCCGAGGTCAATCTCAAAAAACAGAGCTGTGCACTGTAAGAGATATGTTCTCAATACTCTCGGACTTTACCCCCCTGAAAAAACAAGGAGAAGAACTCAGATGTGATGCATGGTGCACGCCTGCCTTATAAACAGATGCTACAACAATATGGTGCTTGTACCTCGCATGTTGTACTCTGTCGAAAAGGTTGATGCGTCGATCGCTGGCCGCGTTATTACATAATCATCGGAGTTTGAAAATCTTCCCACGTTCATTACACGCGACAGCGACGCGTCTTCTCGTGTTTCTACCATCTCTGCTGGCCTCATCCACTCCATTCGACGCGTATAACCACCGCAGACGTCGACTGGAGACTTAAAATGGACCAAAATGCTTCACAGCAACCTGTCAAACTTGTTCGCAAGTACACTAGGCTAGCGCCGCTGGAGATTCCATCCATTGAATCCATACGTGGCCACGGCGCTATCCCTTCCTCCGCCAGTCCCATTGCTCCATCCCCTTCCTCTGCATCCACCCAAATCTCCTTGCGTGCCCCGGCGCGCTCTTTGTGGCACAAAATGGATGATGTCCTGAGCACCTATGGCTTCGAAAGTCTCGGCGAATTTCTATCGGTGCTGTTTCACCCCCGTACTCGTGGAGAAAAGGATCGTCGAACCAGACGCCACAGACAGGCTGTCGGGGCATTTCTACAGGGTCGATCCACGATCACAATGGCTGATATCATGCCTCTCATATACGACCACCCTAAAAGCCGACCAAAGAAGAGAGATCTCGAGCAGTGCAGCGCTGCATTTTCCCCATATAAACCCCTGACCGACATTCAGTATGCTCGTCCCTGCATCTCCGCGTGGGCAACGCGACTTGTCGGCAATCACCTTTACTATCGCGTCGGCAAGTTAGCACACAAGAGTCGGACGGATGCCCGAAACCGGCGTCATCTCAGAGCGACCACAAATGGCCGCACGAAAAATGCCGACCTTGTCGAATGGGAGGACGTCGAAATCTCAATTGAGGAGCTTGCGGATCTCTATAAGAAAGAGGATGAATGTTTATGGTATGTAACAGAATGTTGTACCGCCTCGCGCAAGAACGGCAAGGTCATTGTGAAAAAGACCCGTCCGCACCCCGTCGTAGGTGAAGTTCATATCCCCAAATCCTTTTGTCTCACCTTTGTTCTGCAGATTCAAGTCGGTGCTATTGGCTCATTCATCACAAGCCGGATCCGATACGCCAGTGGCGACCTCGCACTGCCGCTCGGATTGTGGCTTTTTGCATGTCAAGCTCATGTGGATGTGAAGCGCGTTCTTTGCCGCTTTGGCTATAGCGTCAGCGATAGCACTGCTCGTAACGTGCTGAATACGTTGACGGACGCGAGCCTCGACGCTCTGAAGGAGCAGGTACGGGATGCCACGGAGCGGGGCGAGACCGAGTTTGGAAAGATTTCCGATAACATTCAACGGTATGAACGTGTCTTCGAGCATGGGCTGGGCCGGGAGAACGAGATGAAGCACGGAACAGCTTGCACTGTTTTTGGCTTGGATGATTGCGAACCCGGCGCATTCCATGCTGCAGATCACATCGAGTGCGTTATCAAACAAGAACGACAGAGCATGGACGTGGAGAATCTACATCGACTGGGACCATATGGACAACATAACCGACCTTCACTTTGTTCGAGTCGTCGTGGACTTCTCACCGCATCTCAACTCACTTTCCTCGCAAGTCTCGGATCGATTCCGGACTACCCTTGCGAAGCATCGTCTGGAGCCACGAAAGACGCATCTGCAGCCGCTCAGTACCAACAGCGAGCAGCAAATCCAAAACAAGGGCTATCAGGCCGGTTTCTTCGACTACGACAAACAGATGGGGATTGAACCCGAGAAGTGTGACAACCTCTTGTCTTGGAACCGCGGGGATGGAGCGACCCATGGAACATTAATGCGTCTGAAAATGATTCAGGCCACGACTCCTGATATATACACATCCTATCGAAACGCTCTCAGTACCCCGGAAACATGGCATACAAAGTCAACTCAACTGAACTCTACGGCATCGAACCACTACGGGCCTGCAGCATCCCCAGACCCATCCTCCCTGTCCCGCAGTTCAAACGCAGCCAACATGAAACGGCCCACTGACCTTACAAAATGCGACTTTTA